ATGTGTTTGCAGTACACAAGCCACGGTTAAGACAGCTGACTCCACTGTGATGTGACCCCGCCCCCCCCTCTCTCTCACACACACGCACGCACGCATGCACGCACACACACACACACGATGCGCAAAACTCTGCATTTGAACAGTCCATAACAAATACTTAAACTAGTAACAAAACAGTAGCTGATTCAGAAGCGCCGGATTGTCATAGCAAAGTCAGAATTACCTCCTCTCCTAGGTTCACGAAATGGTCGTCTATAAAATGCATTGCTGTTCTGTTGTAAGTAATCTTAATGCATCTACTTTCGGAAGGCCAAATAAAGTGATTTTGCTTTCACCTAGAAACACACAGCGTCTCCCTGACATGACTACATCGACACTAACTGCGGTTACTGAAACCACGCCTTCTTTCTTTGCGTGAACATGTGGGCGGCATTATGCAAATATTTCCACATAGTGAGGTAGATATGTGGGGGCGTGTTAGAATGAGCCGTTTTAGGGGGGCGTGGCAGAGTCTTAACTTTGATAAAGAATATCTCTTTGGTTTTGAGACTTTAGTCTTTGCAACTTCAGGGATCTTATCTATGCACAATCAGCTTGTAACACTCCAAAGAGAAAGGAAAACTTGAAATTGCATCATATGACCCCTTTAAAATACATACACAATTATGAAAAATCATTAAAAAAAACTTTACTAAAGATTAATAAGATGTTATGTTAATATTATTAATAAAATGAACTTTGTAAAGAAGGCAGTTTCACCCCAAAGCTTTTTTCTTATAAACTTGAACATGTAGCGTAAGTTTACAAGATAAACCAATATGTGTGAAATGACACAATTACAAGCCAGGTATAATATAATGCTTTCCTTACAAAGTTGATTTTATTCATCTTTAGAAAAGTTTCTAGCATATTTTCCAAGTACATATTATGTAGTAAGTATACTAATATGAGTGCATTAATACTTTTATGTGTATTATTTAAATACTTCTAGTTGGTTTACTTTTTAGTTTATAAGTGTAACAGTAGTAAACTTTGAGTACATAGCTATTTGACATCTTTTTCTTGTTTTGAAAATAAGTAAACATAACATCATACGTATAGTTTGCTATATTTATATATGGGTTTTGCACTTTAATGCACTGAAAAGAAATATGGAGTATATGTTCATTGCCTTTATTGTATGCTATCCATTTAAATGTATGATGATGAATGAGGGAATGCAAATTGGCTGATATTCTATCAAATAACGTGACTAAATTTGTATCCTGTTAAGACAGTAAGTCCATCCAGCACATCATAGAGTAGAAAAACACACTGGATTTTCAAGATACATTAAGTGAAAATAACTAGTCTATAGTCTCTGATGGGTGCTTAACTTCCCTATTATAATGAGATTTTATTGAGAGCTTGGAAACGTCCTTCAAGCACCAACTAAAGAAAAATGTGAGGTTGTAGGCATCAATAGTCCTCATCTCACTCAGAAAGCCTTTTTTAAATGATTTCTTCAGCATTTTATATTCCCATCTTTCCAAACACCATGTGCAATTGTAGATTTTCTCTGCCTTATCCATTGAAACAAGACATTTGGTAAGGAACCAATTGCTTTACACAAAACATGGGCAAATATTCAAACCACTTCATGCTTGATAATGGTGAGGAGCTTTCAAAATGAAAATACGCTCTAGAAAAAAAGGCTATTTGGCACCCTGCGCATGTTTGTCGGAAGGAGACCATTTAGGAGACCACTTGCTGATTTCAATGCTCAATCTCATCAGTTCTATGCATTGTTGTGAAACAGTTTTCTGGTATAGCTTTTAAATGAATCCACTGCATACCAGATGGTGGAGGTTGATGTTCCTTATCTGATGTCTCAAAGCACCAGCAGAAAAGAGAGGGACAGTCACTATTTGCCTACTCAGATCCAGGGGGACTTTTTGAAGAGATCCTCTGCTTTGTGCACAACTTAATCATAACTGTTTGGTTTCATGGCTTGAGGCGCTGGGTAGGACAAAAGACATGAACATATGGTTGAGAGAAAATGTGACGCACATTATATAATACGGTCACGAATTATCCACAAGTTTGCTTTGATTTTCAGGTCACTGTACAATGTTTTAGATCAGATTTTGTCATTTCGGGTTATGCAAAAATGCTAAATGAATGCATTAGATAAACGATTAAATAAGATCACCATCAAGGACGCATAAGAAAAATATGCTGAAATATGCTCCATATGACACTAAGTACAAACATAATGATATACATATGAATCATGTAATGAATCATGCAGCCTACATATTTTACAGATATAGTACCAAACTGTATCTAATTTTAAAAAATAAACAACGCCTATACATTCTCTTCATGTTCACGCTGTAAAATATAGTTATGTTCTCTGCAGAAAAAGAATACAAACAACATGTCTCGTATGAGCCGCTCCGGGGCAACATCCATCACCAAAGCGTTTGGCATTAATGAGCACAAGATGGCAGGCTAGCCCGTAAAATGGTTTCATGGAACAGATTCGCATCGAAGCCTCGGGAGAAATGTATAGGGTCATGAACCTAGGCTGGCTTTGGATTGGTCGCTCCGTGTGGTCAGGGCACAAAGTCAGCCAATAGGTACCGTCCCCGACAGCTGCGTCAAAGTGGTCTGAAGCTGATATCACGGATGTCTGGAAATCTGTGGTGCCGTTTCAGGTAACGTGGAGTAGAAGTAGCCTAGCGAGTTTCAAACCACAGTCAAACAGTCACTCGTGCTAATGGTGTGCCTGTGATAATGTCAGTCACGACACAAGACGGGTTCAGAGGAAAGATGAACCAGAGGGGAATCTGAATGTGACTCTACGGAGGGAAGTATATTAATTTATTTAGTAGTTACCCAGGATAATGTGTCATTCAAATCATAAAATCATGCCAAAATCAGACTCGTCTGTGTCAAGATGTTGCGGAGAGACCATGTGTCATGTGTTTTTAACGACTGATGTCATCATATACAGCTGTGTTCCCAAGGACCTCACCTGTGACCTTTGAAGACATCACAGGTTAAGGGTCTCAGGGACACAGACATACACTGGTTCAAGTTCAAAGTCTTCAGATGAACTCCAAAGCGAGGCTGAAAATCCCACTTTGGGTCCATCTGCATATAGAGTTACTTGAACGGTGATTAAAAGAATCTGGGCAAAGTTTTTCCTAAAGCTGCATGTCAGAGACAAAGAAGATTTTTTATTGCAGTCATGATTACATATACAGAAATAATTAAGGCCACAGATTTATGACACAGATTTGTATTATTTTTATGTAATAATAAACATATAATTCACTATATCTTATGCTATAGTAAAAATGAAATATATAGAATGAACGTATACTTAGGGAATATATATATATATACAATTTTTCCCCCTTCAAATAAATGCTGCTCTTTTTATCACGGTTTCCAAAAAATTTAGACAGGACAGCTGTTCTCTATTTTCACCCTTGATAATAATAAGAATTCTTTCTTTAAATAATAATAATGAATCAATAATAATAATAATAGTATTAATAAGAAATACATTTTTTAATTGTATTTTTGATCGAATAAATGCAGTCTTGGTGAGCACTTCAAAACTTATTTCAAAAAGATTGAAAAAATCTTACCGACCAGAAGCTTTTAAATGGTCATGTATATAGATAGATAGATAGATAGATAGATAGATAGATATTCACACACACACACACACACACTGAATATTTTATATATACCGCATACTAATCTTGGATGATGACACTTCTTTACCTTCCTCCTTACCTTTGTCAGATTTGCCAAAAAAAAGTAAATGCATCACTCTCACAATGACGGTTTCTTCTCCAAATTGCGTAACATTTTTAAATCTCCTGAGGTTGGACCTGTAGCAAACAGAAGCAAGTTTTAACACATGACACTCATTTTAACCCTCAGGAATTAACAGCAACGCCTTAACGAGCACTGAAATTAAGATTTAGCATCAGCGCCATAAACAATTGCGCAGTTAGTTCTGTCCGGCCCCCTGGTGGCAGACACCGAGTACGATACATGAACCGAATGAACCCAAAAACAGATATGCACTGCCAGCAAACTGTCTCTGCCCTCTCTCTCTGGCTGCCCTCCTTTTCTGTGAAGCCACAAACACAGAGGCATCAGTGTGCATAAACATGTGACGCGTATCACAAACCGCCCGGCCTTTGCGCGATAGATCGTACGACAAATGCGACGCATCATGGGTCGAAGATGTATAGAAAGCATGTGGTACCAGAAAACAGCAAACACTGCTCTCTCTCTCTTTCTTCCTCTCGGTCTCATAGTGCCCCAGTTTTAAGGCTGTCTATCTCTTTCGAAACAAGAGTGGAGAGGGAAACAGCAGACAAAAAGGCAGATTTAGAACGGCATGCAAGTGTTACAAATGTTAAAAAAGCCAAACACAGAAGTCTTTCGCAGTCTTTTGTTCACTATCCCTGCTCGTCCCAACCTAATTTACCAAATGTATGGCGAAACACGCAGTCACGGACACGCACGCTACGCCTCGTATGTTATACACTTAAAGAGTTGTCACGAAATCCGCTATAGTGTCTCCAGACGTTCGCTTCCTTAGCGCCATACGGTAAACTAGTTTCCTCCATCCCTGTTTGACTTCTATCTTGCCCTGCGCTCTCCTCTCTTCTTCTCCCTCCTAGCGTGGCGATGATGCTCTGACACTCGTGGCAATCAGAGGCGGCGCAGATCATGAGATAGGTGCGCTTTGAGCAGCCCACCATTATCTGATGCCGTCCCCTCTTCTCTTCCCTTTCTCTCTGATTCTCCCTCCCTTCCTCTCATTACTCCTTCCTCCCGCCCCAACAGAAACCATGTCTAATCCCCCCCAACATCATAAATCAGTGTCACCTAAACACTAACGCACCCAACCAGAGTGTACCGTGGACGTTCAGACCCAGTGCTGCTCCCTGTCGTCACTGTCCCTGCCTCAGTGTCTCGCTCCACTTCCTCTAACCAACCCCCCCTCGTTTTCTTCTTCTCCTCTCCTGCGTTTTGTCCGTAGAATTTCTGCTGTTCTCTCTCTCTCTTTCTTTCTCCCCCCCCCCCCACCAACCCCTAGCCCCC